CGACAGCGCTAAATGCCTTGCGAAAAATCTTGATCGATCACGAGACAATTCAGATGAGGAAACTACCACTCCTGAGTCGGACACAAGTGGAGGTGAAAGTAAAAAGAAATCTCGGAACAAGCGAAAGGCCCAGAGTACGAGAGGGTCTTCGAAGAAACAACAAACGATAGCAGTCCATGCTGCTACTAACCCTATTGCTGTCTCAGCTGTTGGATCTACAGCCCAAACTCCCACCAGTGGATACACTGGCAGTCTTCCTTGGTGTGGTAAGTGCAACTACCATCACCGCATCCCTGGTCCATGTCGCGAAAGGAGCTGCGACAACTGTGGCAAGAAGGGCCATCTGTCTCGAACCTGTAGAAAGCCAGTCAAACCAACGAACCAATCATCGGGGGCAGGAATCAGTCCGGCCTGCTACAATTGTGGTGAAGCAGGGCACTTCAAAAGGAATTGCCCCAAAGCAACTACCACCACTGATCCCTCTGTCGCCGCAGGTAATCCTCTCTTTGATAACTCTTATACCTGCAACTCTTTTCGATTCCCGTGTTTGAAGGAAAACCTGTTATCTATCTATTCGAATGTTTTCTAAGCTCAATTCCTCGTATGCGATCGAAATGTGCATCATCGAGACGACTAACCAATGAGATGGAGAACACTAACTTCGTACCTATAGATTGAATCCTCGGTCCAGAGGACTATTCTATTCCATTCAGTTAAATGGGAAACCTTTCGCGATAATACTTTGATGCTACGTTTAACATGGAATGACGGAGTCTCATTCATGTTGTTATCCTGGTTTCGAGAGGGTCGCCCGTCTATATCTCTTCCTCGACCTAACTCTCATGATCTTCGGCATCAACTTTCGTATTGTGTCATGCTTTAAAACCCAAGAGTTTTCCTAATACGAATTACCACGTTCCTCGTTTCTGTGATCATTTGGAAACGAGAAGTCAGTAGCTCTTTCTACTAAAGGTCTGTCCCGAAGAATTTCCGGGAATTTCATTCGAACGTCTAAAGTTTAATCCCACATCATACTTTTCGAAATCTTGTAGAGATTGATTCTACAATCTTCAGGGTTCAGATGCTCGTAGAGCTTGTTAACATCTATCCAGTACATCATGTCTCGAATCCTTAGAAACTCCTACACAACGAAACCCTAGTAATTCCTTGAGAAAACCGAAGTCGTCCAGGGTTGGAACTTCCATGAGAAAACCGATTGATAACATAGATTGAGAGAGATTCAAGGTACAAAACAAGGACACGTCCCGATAGCGAGAATTCACTAAAACACCCAGTAGAGACTCGATTCCACTTGAGAGAGTGATGATCCGAGGTAGCAAATCCATTCGAGTTTCATTTCAAACTCATGATCTATATCTTATTCTTTGAATTTCGGGACGAAATTCCCTCTAACGGGGGGATAATGTAACAACCCGAAATTTGTTCGTCGCCAAAACCCGTTTTACCCGAAAGGTCGCCGTTATCGGATTCGTTCCGTCTTCTCTTTGGAGTTAATTATATAAACTTATATGTTTATTTATTTCTAATGAGTGTCTAAATCACTCAGGAACATATGTTATTAGCCCAAAAATCATTATTTCATAAGTTTTAAAAATGTTCCCGTCGGGTGACGGAAACTAAATCGGGTGCGACCAAAAGCCGCGTTTAACGTCGGTATCGGGTAGAATTCCACCGTGTGCAAATTTTAGGAACTATATAAACATGTTTCAGCCTTCATTTGAAGCTTTTCCTTCTCTCACTACTCTCTCTCTAACCTCTCTCCAAAATCCAAAGATTAAGTGTCCAAAACTCAATTTTTAAGGCTTCAAATCCTTAAGGTACCTTCCTAGCCTTAATCTATAGCATGTTTAGCTTCCAAACTAGACACTTAATCATGAAATTGGACAATATATATGAGTTTACGGCCTAAGAAGGTGCTTAGGCCGTAAACACCAAAAATGATGGGTTTTGAGCCCTTAAACCCCTCCTTGACTAGTTTGGACTTTAGATATGGCTATGGGACTTCAAGATATGGACTCTAAACATGTAAAACATAATTTTTGTGATGTTTGAAGGAGTTTACGGCCAAGGATCATTCTTGGGCCGTAAACTCATATAATTAGGGTTTTCATGCCCTTAAACCCTTCCAAATCACTTCTATGGCTTAGATATGAATTATAGGACCTTGATTCTAGCATTTGGACACTTGAAACATGAATTTTGGGGGATTTAGATGAGTTTACGGCCAAGGAGAGTTCTTGGGCCGTAAACTCCCCAAAACTTGGCATAAATCCAATTCTAAGGTGTTAGAAAGCCATCCAACACCACCAAAAGCCTTGGAATAAATCAAGGGACCAACCAAAAATACTTTGAGGGCCTAAAACACATCATTTGTGGGATTTCTAAGGGTTTACGGCCAAGGCTTGTTCTTGGGCCGTAAACTCCAAAATTTTTGGTGTTAGAATGCAAACTAAACACCCCTAAGGCCCTTAGATGAATTTTAGAAGTCCTTTCATGCAAGTTCTAGACCTTGAAACACCTTGGAGCACCATGTATTAGAGTTTACGGCCATGAAGGGGGTTTCATGGGCCGTAAACTCCACAAACACCCCAAAAGTCCCTTGCAAACTCATGTTAGGCCTTGGATTAATTCTACCAATCACATGTGATTTGTTCTAGCACCATTTAACATCATTTTCTTGGAAAAATAGGGGTTTACGGCCATGGAGCTAAGCTAGGCCGTAAACTCCCATAAAAGGGATCTATTTGATGTTTAGTAATCATTCCAAGTCCTTAAACCAAGTCTAGAAATTATCCCCTAAGTGTTGGAAGTCAAATTTGCACCATAAACCACCCATCATGAGTTTACGGCCGTAAACTCATGGGGATGGGTGTTTAGGCCGTAAACTCCCATAAGGGGAGTGTTCCTTTGATGTCCCAACTCATTTCCCAAGTCCCTTGTGTCACTCATGTCCCTAAACGCCACCCGGGTCACTCCAAACACTTGTATCGGAGTGTTATCGCGACTTGAAGCAAGTGTCCCTATCATATGAAAAACTAAGTCCTAATTAGATACAAATGTGTATCTTTACATGATAATTAGGAACCTCGTGTGTTTACAAGTTCCGGATCAACTCTTAGCATCCAAACCGTCTCGTATCTCGTCCGGTGAGTTCATACCCCTACGGCTTTTTCACTGTTTTCAATGTTTTCAGGGGGGGAATACAAGCAAACTATAACTGTTTTCCAATCACAACATTGATATGTTTCAAACAATATCTGACAAACTTATAAACTCTTTTACTCCTTATGTTTTATGCTGAGCATAAGGAATGACTATTCGATTTCAACTAAATGGATTTTAGTTAAGGAAACAATCAAGCTAATCAAATTATTATGGGAATAATTTGGGGGTGTTTTCTGTTCTTTCTATCGTATATTGATATCTATATCAAGTTATTAGATAAACTATGTCTGTTTCAGTTTATCTCCGTATCATTTTAATGTATTGTCAGATAATTTCATGTATGTATCTATAGTTTACTGTACCATGTTTCATAATCTTCTGTATATCGATATCTTACAAGAACCCTGTGAATAGTTTAGTACTAGTTTGTGAGATAGTCACTACCCTTTATGGATGATCAGTAAATCCTCCCCGGAAGTGTAACCAGAGTCTCTTGGAGGGAGAGCGCGGAATTTGTGAATAGATCTATTCGGGACTAACAATCCCACACCTTAACTGCTAGCTACAGTTAGGCGGGCACGCCTGGGGTGACAAATTTCTGGATATCGTTTCGACGTCTAATAAACATCAAGGAGGTCACGTTGTCGTATTAGTATGGTTACCCGACTCACAACATGTATTAATACCAGCTTATTCACAGTTTGGGTTTAGAATCTATATTTCGTTCGGGATAGTGATCCCATGGTTTTGCATCTATATTTTATATCTCTTTCGGAATTGTGATCCCATGATATTGTTTCTAGATCTCTTTCGGGATAGTGATCCCATGGTATTATCAAACTATTTTATATCGATGTCCTATACAGGATAGTGATCCCATGGTTTATTCCTATATCTCTTTCGGGATAGTGATCCCATGGTATCAATCTAACTATTTTATAACTTATACGGGATAGTGATCCCATGGCTTTCTAAATCTATATCTTATACGGGATAATGATCCCAAGGTTTTATGTCTTCAACTATATCTTATACGGGATAGTGATCCCAAGGTTTTGTGTCTTCAACTATATCTTATACGGGATAGTGATCCCATGGTTTCAATCTATATTTACATATATACATTAACTTATCTAGTGTCTAGTCCGGGATGATAGTCCCATGATCTTAAACCTGTACTTTCGGATGTGTCAAACTATCTTATATATGTCTTTCGGGATAGTGATCCCAAGATTTTCATTATATAGTTTTGGATGTTAAACTATACTTTGTGTTATACAACCGATCTTATAATTAGGAAAATATGGGATTTTCCTGGGGTAGAATACAATACATAACCGAATTGGTAACCAATGATAACTTAACCAACTTTACATAAGAAAATATGGGATTTTCTTGGATAACATATCTTTTCAGAAACTAAAGGAAATCGATACATTTTCATAAAACAAAACCGCTTATGAACTCACCAGCTTTATGCTGATTTTCAAACCGCTTGTATTCTCAGGTCCAAGTTAGACAGGTACCCGGTGATCTCTTTTGATGAAGACGGAGTGCGTGGAAGACTCGTCTCAACTTTTGTTAATATGATGCATATGTATATCTTGTATAACTTTACTTTTGAAACAAATGTAAACTTTCATATATATGTAATGTAATGTTTGTTTACTGTGATTACTATTTACATTGGAATTGATACACAACTTGGAGTCAACCCCGGAGACGTTTCCGCCTTTGGTTTTCGGGGTGTGACAATCTTATCTAATTTGTGATCTTGTAGTGCCCATGCACTTCCACCTTCATATCGGTCACTCATGACAACTGATGATTCAAGGATTCTTGATTTCTGTGTTGATGGTATGTCCCATTCTAAGCTGTGTAATAGATAAATTTTGTTGCTTAATATCATTATGAACACTATTGATTATATACATATGTTGTTGTTTATACTCAGATTTTGATGTCGACACAGATGGAAAAAGATTTATTTGGCAGGTTAGGGGATATGATTATTGTTCCAAACGCCTATGGATCCCTTCAACAACCATGTTTAATATGCCTATAATTTTCTTATGTTTCAAAAATATCTCTTTTGTAGGGTATCTGCAAGTTTCCTTTTATTGATGAAGAGCGCCTTCTTGATTCAACAAAAATGATTAAGAAGGAACTGACTGTACGTAAGGCTGAATTATATACAGGACTTTCAAACATTTGACAAGGAATCTAATTAACATGGTCTTTTATCTTCAGGAGGAGGAAGCTAAAAGAAATCCTGAGAATGTCGACAAGTAGTTCCTACACATTTTAGAAAATCTTGCCTTGCGGATTATCACTTCCTTTAACAATGAAGGCTCCATCGAGCAAAATACATGCTTAAGGTTGTGCTCTCCATTGTTATAATGCAGTGATTATTCTTTTTCCTAATGTAAATATTTTCTTCTCTTGTTTCAATTTCAGTGGAGAATTAATATCATATGTTTATTGGGGTTACATTGAGCAAAACAGTAGGCGGTAGGCTAATCGCATCCACCCTAGTCCAAGTATCTTTTCCACACACACACACACACCCTAAACTTTAAAGATGACTAGAATTAATATTTCATGTAGATGACTTTTTTTTGTTAAATTGCCTTTTCTCAGGAAAGATCCCATCTCTCCAACGGATCAATGGATGACCACAATCGTGGTTCGGGGCAGGTTGTGCTTTTTACATGTTTTTTTTGGAAAGTTGATTACCCTTTCTATTTTTTCATTAATTTTCTGCTTTTGTTTTCTGTTGCTTGCAGATGATGGATGGAACCCAGATCAATATAGATGTAACTGCACTTGGGGCTATAATTGCTTTGGGTCTAATGTACTTAAAGGTAACTCTTTGGCAGGAAGGATGACTATATATATTTGTTTATGATTTTATGTCAGCTCTGTTCTCAAGATTTACAACTTTGAAAAAATATTCTAATGATAGACTAAATTGCAAGCGATTCTATCCAGGCTTTCTATACCATAAACACATTTCGAATAGCAATATGTGAGGCCCCACTTCATAATGCTCCATGTCATTTCCAGTAATTTAATAATGTGGAGCAGGTACTGCTATTTAAAATTCATATGCTACATTAATATTCATGCTGGCTATATGTAAAGAGTAAGAGATCTCTTTAAACACCTTGCATGTGTTTTTAGGATTCATCCATCAGAAGATTGGATTCAGGGTTAGATACCCAAAGTAGTCTTGAATGGCATCAAAGGATTCATCCATCAGAAGATTGTGAGTACATCTCATCAAGAGACTAGTCATTACTTTTCTGATGAATCAAGACGTATACATTGCACAAAATGTGACCTAATGCATATATGGAAGTTGAAAAGCTGCTGACTATGGCATACACTATTGGCTTCCTTGGAATTGTAAAGCTGCTAACTGTGGCATAGACTGCTGAACACTTAGACTTTGAAAAGCTGACTGGTGGCCACATGGAAGTTGAAAAGCTGACTGTGGCAACTACTGCTGCTGCTGGACACCTGGAAGTTGAGAAGCTGATTGTGACATAGATTGGTGTCCACCTAGAAGTTGAAAAGCTAACTGTGGCATAGGTTGCTGCTGCTGGACACCTTGAGGTGGAAAAGCTAACTGTGGCATAGGCTGCTTCTGCTGAAAGACTAGATGCTTGACCATTTTGAGAAGGAAAAGCAGTTTGCGAGGGTCCAGGTGGAGGCAATATATCAGCTAAAAATGTCAACAGTTGAATCAAAATCAAAAGTATCCCCAAATCCCCCTGACCCTGACATTGGGTCAAATGAAAATGATGGTGGTTCAGCAACAGTTGTAGTGAAGGGTGATGTTGGTGGTTAAGCCGAAAATCCATCAGTAGAAGGAACAGCTTTGAAAGGACCATCACCAAACGGATCATCAAATGCCTGCAATCAATGCATAAAGAGTGTAAATTTACAACATAAACAAACTATCAATATGTGTGTGTAGAATCTAGCTTTTAAGACACTCACGCACCCGACTTGTCGATAAGGTATCGAAGGTGAGATAAGGATTAGTATTTGCTGGAGGATGAACTTCAGTGGTTATAGATGAAGTAGATGTTACAACAGCCAAAGCATTTGAAGAAGAGAAAGACTCTGATAGAGAACCAAACAATTCCTCCATCTCTCCACCACCTGATCCTTGCAAGGCAAACGCAAGGGCAGGAGCAGGAACAACACCACGGGGATCAAAAAAGTCAAACCCATCGTTTTCATTGTTGACTGTCACTGCAAGTGGTGGCGGCGTAGTGGTAACTGGAGGTGGTGTGGCGGCGGCAGCTGGTGGTGGTGGAGCAGTTGCTGCCGGAATTTCTTGATGGTTAATGTTCACCAGTCCTTAAAATGCTTACTAGTTAGACTAGATTCCATTACTTTATATATAGATATATATATATATATATATATATATATATATATATATATATATATACAATTTACAGTAAATAAATCTTTTGACTTATTAATTAATTAATTTACCTCTTGGTATCAACAGGGCTATGACCGTCACTCACATCATCTTCATAACTAGGAGGCCCACCAACATTTTGTCCAGATGACCTTGGTTCACGCCCCCTGCCCTCACCACTAAAAAAGAAAATTTTATTTCAATGTATTGTGTATATATATATATATATATATATATATATATATATATATATATATATATATATATATATATATATATATATATATATATATATATACGAGGGTATTTTGGTCTTTTAATCAAAAAGCAGATTCCTTCGACCCTCTAAATTACCTTCCATCTGGAGAAGCATCCTTCAACTATAGCACCCAGATAACCATTTCTTGCTATAACAGTAGCATAGTTATGATTCAATTCACGAATCCAAGAATTTAATCTAATTAAACTTTTATCAGATCAGAAGTTCCTGTAAGTTCAGGAGAGTAATGCAAACAATTGTCACACTTGGAAATGCTTTGAACCAAGGAACAACAAGAGGTCAATATTTTCATTTTTTATTTTATGTTATTAAATATAATAATATTTTGTTATAGTTGATTTTGACTTTGACTTTGACTTTGATTAATTTGGTGTCATTTTAGGCGCTGCTATTTGGTTCAGATTTGATTAATATGTTGTATGGAAAATAATTAAATTTTAAAATAACAAGATAATGTTGTGGATAATTAATTAATTTTTGGTGCTTGTTGACAAACTACCTGAACTCCTTGATTTCTCCAAGGATCTTGACAGTTTGGAACCTGCATCAAGGGTGGTGATCACAATTAATCTTATTCAAATATTTAGAAATTTAAAACATGTGTAAATGTAATTAAGAATTTATTGATTATTTATTATTTTTCAGGTACAATTAAAATATTTGGCAGAGGAAATGCAAGCTATTAGCAAAGGACTTGAAAAAGTTGTCCAGGAATTGTCAATGGCTGAAAATGATGGACTTGTCTTTGAAAAATTTCTCAAATTAAGAGTTATCAGTACACAACCGTTTATGTAGGCAACCTTAGCCCTGAAGAAGTACTTTTTCTACAAATATTGCTTAAGGTAGTGGAGGGCCTTTATGTAATGTGATGGATCAACCTCTTTTAAAGTTTCATCTACATCTAGTTTTATTCTTCTAGCATGCTTTTTGTATTTGGTTTAACAGCTGAGGATCATAATCAAACAAAAGCCTTGTGTTGGTGTAGGGCCTTTATGTAATTCACAATAGGTTTCCATGATGGCATGAAAGTGGTATTAAGTATTTGCATTTTTATTATATTATACCCCTCACATTTTCCCAAATTACCCCTTCCTCTACAATGTTTTTTTTTTTGTTTCTGTGTATTTTGTGCATTAGGTAAAGTTGATGGAAGAAAGGAATATGAAGCCACTTGATTTAAATCTTGCAGCATTATCAGCAAGATGCAGTAAAGACTTGGAGTTGAATTTGGCTAAGTCATTATTGAGTGAGATGGGCCAATGTACAATTGCATATCCATATAATCAGCTGTTTGGAACATTACTTTTAAAGAATTATGAAAGGCAAGATGCAACTTTACTTAGTTGGAACTTGATGTACATAGTAGATTAGATGCAAATTTATATATTGTAAGAAATAGAATTATATGACATTAAATTTATGCAATGGATTCTATTTTTTGTATATGATATTTTATTTTCTATTATGAAACATTAAATAAAAATTTAATTTGAAAATAATTAAATCTATAAATAATATTTTTTTTAAACATTTAAAATTATGATACGCAAAAATGTGTGTCATCTTCATTTATGACATGGCCTTTCTTGATAGGGGCTTTCTTGATACGCATTGCGTGTGATGAACACGCGCGTCGTAAGGTTATGACACGCGAATGCGTGTCGTCTTCCTTTATGACAGGGCCTTCCTTGATACGCATTGCGTGTCGTAAATGCGCGTCGTAATTGCGCGTCATAAATGAGCGTCGTAAATGCGCATTGTCTATAGATGATGCGCAAAAGCGCGTCGTCTTTCTTTATGAAGGGACCTTCCTTGACGCGCATTTGCGCGTCGTCTGAGCCTTTTACAACGCGCAATGAGCGTCGTAAAAGGCTGTTTTTCTAGTAGTGGATTGTCGTCCCCTTCACAAGGTTGACCCAGAAGGGTGTTACTTTTATTTGGGGTCCAGAGCAACGAGCCTCATTTGTGACACTTCATCAGAGATGGTGCAAACCCCCAGTGTTATCCCTTCCTGAGGGAGTGGAGGACTTTGTGGTATACTACAATACATCTATATCAGTGATCAGTGTGGTGTTGATGTCGAAGGGGGCACGTGATAGCATACGCATCAAGCCAGTTGAAGCCTCACAAGAGGAGATATCCCACCCACGATCATTGTAGCCTGAAGTAACTCATGGATTAGCCTAAGAACACCAAGAGCACACTAGTGTTTTTATCCAAAATCAATCCTTTCAAGCTTCAATATCGATGAGCCGAATCGACGAGTCACTTAGGGTTTGTCCTGATGCTATAGCTGAACGAGTTAGGGCTTAACTCGACAAGCCGGACCTTCACGAGACTACTGAGGAACAATTGGACTCGACGAGTCACATGAGTGCACTCAACGAGTCAGGTCAAACCTAGACTATTGACTCAAGTTTAACTTCTGTTGACATTAAGGTTTGATTAGCATGAGTAATGGAGACCATGGAGGGGTAAAATAGTCTTTTAACCATTCCAAGATTTAGAGAGAAAGAGAGAAAAACCTTTGGTGTATTTGAGTATGACTATTGCATTAATTAGAGATAATTACCCTATGTATTAGGCGGAGGCTAGTTCGAGATTCCCGAGTATGATACTTTTACTTGCTAGCATACGAGGTGGGTCCTCTCACTATACTTACCATGAGTGGTATCTTCGCGTGACTGACATGTCCTATGTGCTTATCTGTTTATTATGGTACTCTGGATTTTGTCTTTGTGGTTAATGCTTATTGTTATGAACTCATTGAGTTAGGACCAGAGGGTCCACCCGAGTTGTAGGACCGGTGGGTCTCAAATGAAATACATTGAGCAAAGGGTCATATTGTGTTAACCTCGAGTGGCTAAAGTAATGTATGTGGTATTTTGGGGAACTCACTAAGCTTTGTGCTTACTGTGTTATATGTTATATGTTTCAGGTACTTCTCAGGATTGCGGGAAGGCATTGGCTTAATTGTACACATGCTGGGATTGAAGATTTGTTTTTGAAAGATCTTGAATGTGATATATATATATATATATATATATATATATATATATATATATATATATATATCTATATATATATATATATATATATATATATATATATATATATATATATAGGAAAAGGGAATATACACTTAAGGGTATATAAGCTTAGGTACCCAAACACACCATAATACATCATTTTTTTTGATATATTTAATATAATGTTCTTAAACTTCAACCTTAACTTGATTTATTTTCAAGATATTCGAAATTTCATTATTATCTTTCTCTTAAATCACATTTTTTTTCCGGTCATCTACTAGGCTATATATATTATAGTTGAAAATGAAAATCATGTAAGAGGAAGATAAATGTGTAATTTACAAAAATTTTCGAAGTACATCAAGTTAGAAGTTAAATTATAAAAACATTGGACAATTAAAATGTATTATATGATACAAAACGATTTATTTTGGTGAGTTTAGGTACCTAAACTTATATACCCTTTAGGGTATATTCACTTTTCCCTATATGTATATATATATATGTGTGTGTGTGTGTGTGTGTAAATATATATACAATACCTATCCATGAGTTAAAAGTATGGGACAGACTTTTTTGTCTGCTTTTGTCTTGCAAACCGTGGAGGAGACCAAACTTGTTTTACCTTTTGAATTGCTTAATATGTTCTACCATACTTGTAAGTGTCTTGTCCTAATAACCCATGCTTTGACTACCTTTTTGTGTACGGTGTTCACTTTTTTTTCTTGACTAAAAGCATAAGGGATTAACACATAATAGAGACTTATTGTAGGCATTTCTTCCATAATTTTGTATGCTCAAAACCGAGAGCACATGGCTCTCTACGGGGATGCCAAATTTTGATGTTAAATTCCCTCTCTTCTCCTCAATTCGCTAGAATTTTTTATGTTAGACAAAGTCCCTTAGTTGCTTCACCGTAGAACATATATTTGGTGTATATATATAAGTCCTATGAAAAATTAATACAAGTGTATACTAGCATGTTTTGATGGTTCTAGTCTTGCTTGGTGGATACTTTTTGAGAGCTCTTAATTTAGAGCTTAATGCCATATTCATCAATTTCCAACCTACCATGAGGATCAAAGTCTCCAAAGGTTGTTATGTGTTCTCTTATATGGTTGCTTTAATCTTTCTAACCCTTGAAAAATGATCCTTGGTTGGAATATAACAAAGAGGGAAGGGGACAGAGATAATAAATGACAGGGTTTCAAGTTTGGGATATCAGAGGGTTAAAAGCATGACCTAGCCAAGGAGATAATGACATTAATTATGGAAGAAACCCTAATCTTCATGGGCTTGGGCTACAATGCTCATCATGCTCTAAGAAAACATCCACCTCATGGCGAAAAGCCTGGGATAGGAAGCCTAATTTCAAATTAAGCGCAACTTTGCTTTTTGCCCAAAATATTAACTCATAGGCAATGGGTTTTCTCCCTCTAGATTCAAGCTTAATCGTTTGAGGTCTGAGACCTGTACCTGATCAAACCAAGACCCAAAATTCACTTAAGAATTATCTCGGAACTGGATATTACAATAGAAGAAGAGAAAGATTACATGGATATACTTCCTTTCACATCTGTAGCTAGTAGTTTAATGTGTGCCATGGTATGAACCAAATCGGACATTCCTCATGCAGTGGGAGTTGAGAGTAGGTTCATATAAAATCTACGATGAAAATTAGGAAGGAGTAAAATGGTTGCTACGCTACTTAAAAGGAACAAGTTGGATTTCCTTTAGTTTTAGAAGAAAAGTGGTATTTTTAAAACGGTTACCTATGCATATTTAGGTGGATATGATGATTCAGGCAAGAGCACAACAAATTAGACAATCCTCATGTAGTGGCAGTTGAGAGAATGCTCATGTCAAATCTACAAAGACAATTTTGGAAGGAGTAAAATGGGGCTACGCTACATAAAAGGAACAACTTGGATTTCCTTTTGTTTTATAGGAAAAGGGGTACTTTTAAAAGGGTTGACTGATGTAAATTTAGGTGGATATGATGATTCAAGCATGATAACAAAAAAATATTTGTTCATAATCGGAGGTACAACAATCGTTTGG